GCCACCCTTCACAGGAAGGGAAGTTCTGGAAGAATCCACTACAGTAACCCCTGAGGAAACAGGAATAGGACAATCCCTGCTCCTAACCCTCCTCCACTGACCACCCCAGCATGTCTCAGCAGCCGCTAGTGGGGGAGGCAGGGCGGGCCAGGGAGGGTGTGAAGCTGAGGTTGTTAGCTACATCCTTCACTCCACCTGAAACCTTAAATCCCCCTGGTATGTGGCTAACAAATTCACAGGGAAGATAGGAAAAACAACAACATTTCTTCTGATGCTTTCCTATGTGTTGCTCACCCTGAGGCCCATGCTCATGGGATTCTGGGGTATGACCTGGGCCTGGGCATATTGTAAAATCTCCCAGGTGATTTTAACAGGCAAGGCTTGGGACCACAGGGTTAAGGAAGGTGGCCCACAACACCCAGCTTCTGCTGGCAGGCACTCTTAAACAAACCTGGTGCATGGTGACCCCGTGTGTCAGAGTAGAACTGTGCCCCATAAGATTTTCAATGGCTGGTTTTACAGAACCAGATTGCCAGGCTTTTCTTCTGAGGTACCATTAGGTAGGCTCAAACCTCCAGTCTTTTGGTTAGTGCTCCCCAGAAAACTCAGACACTGCAGTTCTTCAAAGCCCCCACTGAAGGGTTGGAGGGGGAGACAGTTCTGGGAATTTTCTCTCTAACAGGTTTTGTTGTTGTTAGGTGCTGTCAAGTAGGTTCCGACTCAGAGCAATGCTATGCCCAACAGAACCAAAGGCTGCCCGGTTCTGGGCCATCCACTGTTAGGTTTGAGTGCTTTGTTGTTACCACTGTGTTAGTCCATCTTGTTGACAGTCTTCCTCTTGTTTGCTGACCCTCCCAAGTGTGATAGTTCAGGTTCTGTGTCAACTTGACTGGGCCACCAGGATTCTCCATGGTGTAGCAGCTGTGATGTAGCAACCCTCATGATGAGATCTAATAGACTGTCATCAATTCTATGATGAGGTCCATCTATTGAAAGAAAGCTTCCTCAGGGGTGTGGCCTGCTTCCAATATTTTGGACATTCAGGCAAGGCTTATTGGCTTTCTTCTGGGTCTGGGTCTTGCATCTGGCTCAGCCTCTGACCTCCAGTTCTTTGGAGGTGAACCAGTGGTCTGTTCCAATACCTGCTGATCCTGGGAGTTGTGAGCAGTTTATCTTCTTTCTTGCCAGACCTGACTGCCTGCCATCTGACCTGTCAACCTTGGTTCATTATCCCAGTCTGACACCTAACACATCTCTACAACTCCGAAAACCATTTCCTTAAAACAAGCCTCTCTTTATAATACAGAGACAAGCTGTTCACCTCGCAGTGCCTCAGGAGAGCCAAGGACAGCTGCCCATGATGACAGGACGGTAGAACATTGCTCCTGCCACAGAGCCTGGCCTGGAGTAAGGCTATCAGTGTGACCCCAGAGGCACCATGGCCTCTAATGGCCGGGGCACCTGTTAGTACCTTCTTTAAAGCCCACCGTGGACTAAAGGGCCAAGGAGGTATCTCAGGCCACCTCCAGGTCTGACTCCAACAAGGGTGGGTCCAAGGATGGGTGGGTGAGGATCCACTCTTTGTGGACTTGGGAGAGAAGGTTAGTTATGTGGCAGAGACTGTCTCTTGTCTACCCAATACACTTTCCTACTTCATCTCTTTCACCTGAACTCCAGCCACACTGCATGCTCCAGGGGATTAATAATGCCTGGTTTACTGTCTAGGAAGGGCTGATGAAATGAAAAGCAGATGGGTCTCTTGTGATGCAATAGTGAATAATTGTTATCAGGACTGATTGTGAGGGTTAGAAAGGTAAAGGTGGACATTTTATAGCAAGGAGGGGCGTGATTAACTTTTTAGTCTAAGAGCAGAGGGACCTGGGACCATCAATGGAGAAGAGTGGGGAGCAGGATCCTACCCAGAGAAGCAGTGATGCCTGAGATGAAGGCAGAGATGATAACGTGGAGAGATGGAGTGGCTGGGGACTTGAGATCCAGAGAGGGAGAGGGGCTGTGTGCTGATGACCTGGGGGGCAGGGGCATGCAGGGTATACCCTTTGGTTGGTTGATGATGCATGGACAAGATTGTAACTATGGCAATGAAACAATATATGATAGAATGAATGTAAAACTAATGTTCTCCCATGTAAACTATCACATAATTCACAATAAAACATTTATTAAAAAAAAATAATAATGCCTGGTTTAAGCAGATTGTGGCAAGCTCATTCTCCATTGGTCTAAAAGTGGGTACACAACTCCATTCTGGCTAATGAGATGCAAGGGAATTCTTCTGAGAACTTCTGGGAAAGATTTTCCTTCAAGAAAAGAATGAGACATGGGACAAGATGGTCTCATGGCCCCTGGCTTACAAGATGCTGTCAGGAGGGGATGTGATGTCTGGAGCTATGGCAACCATATTGTGTCAATGAAGTGAGACATCATCCATGCACTGATGATGACAAAGAGGAAGGCTAGAAAGAGTCTGGGTACTTGAGGACATTGAGGAGCTGCTGGTCAATGCTGGGATCACCTACCTGAGGGAATGTTCTTTGGTTAAGACATTTTGGTTGGGTGTGAAGTTACTTGCTTTGCTTGCATGGTTTCTGCTGAGAGATCCGAGATTAATCTGACTTGCTTGCCTTTTTATGTAACACTTCTGTTTTCCCTAGCTGCTTTCAGGAGTGTCTCCTTATCTTTGATTTTGGAGAGCTTGATTATGATATGTCTCCATGATTTTCTTTGGGAGTCTATCCTTCCTGGGGTTCGTTGATCTTGAATGTTTATCTTTTCACTTTTCAAGATGTTTGAGAAATTTTCTTCTAGCAGTTTTTCAACTGTTTTCCTCTGTGGACTTGTGTGATTCTTCTTGTTCTGCAATATTGATAATTCTTATGTTATTCCTCTTCATGTTGTCCAACATGAATCTTAGTCCTTCTTCAGATTTTTTATCCTTTTTTCTATTTGCTCTTCTAGCTTAGTTGTATTGAGAGATTTCTCTTCCAACTCACTGGTTCTGCTTGCCATCTCTTCTATTCTACTCCTTTGCCCTTTCATTATTGTCTATTTTTGATAATCTATTAGTGATCATTTGGACCCCTTTCTGTAGGTTTTGAATTGCTTCCAATGCTGTATCTATCTTATTTGATTGTTCCTGTAGCACTTTCCTGACTTATTCTTTATTTTTCTCAACTCCATTATAAAATGTTTTGAAACATTTTATAATCACTTTTTTCTGAATTCCTTCTCAGGCATTTCCAAGGCCTGCCCTCCTTCCAGAATGGAGTCCAGGTCTACCTCTAAGTCATTTGTCTCAGACATCTTATCTTGTTTCTTCACATGTGCTGATATGGTCATCTGCTTTTGCTTCTTGGACATGTTTAGTGTTTATCTGTGGCTTTAATACTTAATTGAGTATGTGTTTTGGTATTTTTTATGCTGTCTAATTGCTTCCAGGTAGATGTGATCAGGATGTGGGCTTCCTTTTTCACTCTTCATATCACTTAACTCAGAGTAACTTTCACAGGTGTTGTCTGCCTCCCTGGTATATGGCAGTTGGTATTAGTTCTTGCCTGGATTTTGGTGTTTTATAGAGTGTGATTGTAGCTTAACTATATGGAAGCAGTTGCTGTCTCTTCTTGGGTAATAACGGGGGAGAAAGAGTCCCCCAAAGGTAGAAGGGGGGTATAAAACAGCAAAACAGCAACAGAAAAAAACACACACCAAAACAACAACAACAATAACAAAAACTAGACTGGATACTGTAGTCTGCAATCGCAGAAAAGGGAGAGAAGGAAGAGAAGAAGAAGAAAAAAATCTGTAGCCTAATATGAGTATGATTTTAATGTCCTCTCTCCAGCTTCCTGCCTTCAATGCTGCCTGAGAGATTTCAAGATGCCACTGTTGGTTGTTATGCTGTACCTCAGGATTTAATTTAATTTCCTGCCTATTTTGTTTTTAAATTCTCTTTCCCTCTCCACACTGCTTGTTTTCTGGCTTTTTCCATATTAAAAAACAACAACAACAAAAAAAAACAGTTCAGTGCTGGCTCTTGGGCTGAGAGTATCTGTGCACATGCGTGGCAGAAGAACCCACCAGTGGTAAGGGTTGGGGGGTGTCCACTCGCTCAAGCACCCCCTCTAGTCACCAGAATGGAAGTGCACAAACAGTGGGTGCACCAATGAACAGATACACCCCCCCCCCAAAAAAAAGGAAAGAAAACCAGAGCAAAGCAAAATTGACAAAGTGTATTGTCCACCTTTGCTCCAAGGTTCCCGCGGCATTTTTCTGTGGTGTTTCTGCTCCCCTGCTTGGTTTTGCCATTTGTTCTCGCCCAAGTTGTCGGTTCTGGGCTGCCACGCTTGGCAGATTCAAAAATACATGATTTCTTACTTCCGCTACAAGTTCCACTAGCTATAAGCCTTCAGACTTTAAACTATTCCTAGCTCTGTGGTTCCGAGTTTTGGAGCTCTGCCCTGAATTTGCTTTGCCTGGTATTCTGTGGTATCGCTGACAGTGAACCTCACTGCACCTCCACCCTAGCCGCCATCAAGCCCTACCTCAAGTCCTCATTGCCTTTTGCTGGAATAGTGCACCTAGCTGAGCTGGTTGCTCACCTCCATTCTGGAACCATCAAGAGCAAACATTTTCTAACATCCTGTCCTGGATGTATCCCATTTCCTGTGCTAATGTCAATGTCTGTTCCTCTTACTTCCTAGAATGAGGTCCCCATCCCCCCCTACGGCCTGGTACAAAGAGGATGGTCAAGAATGTTTGTTGAAGGGAAAAAGAGTCTGGGTCAGACCTGAGCAAGATGAAGACATGAATTGGTATTACCCAAGAACTGTTTAGAAAGAACAAGTCAAGAGTTGCCAATGCTTTACTGCATGGAGACACTTTATTGAAACATAGTGGGTGTTCTTCAGAACAAGGTGCCCATGGTGGGCAGTTGGGAGTCTGGGGTGGGGTTGGCAGGTGGCATGAAAAATCTCACCGGCTGTTCACTTGCTGTAGGTCTTGGAGCCTGGCTCTGAGAGATCCAGGAGGTCTTCTCTCAGTCCAGAGGCTGCTAGCAATTCCTCCTCTTCACTTTCAGCTGACTGCCGGTCCTTGGCTCCACCTGAAAGAGACGGGGCTAGGTAGTAAGGCCCAGTCCTGGATAATGAATTCCCTTTTCGAGTCCCTTTCCATTTGGCCCAAAGGGATCTCAATGATGGTCTTTTCCTACCAATGTCCTACAGAGGGGCACTTCTGGGAATGGGTTACCACATCCATCATTTAGCTCTAAGGACATTCTGAGGGACTTGGGCTTATCGTCAGAGAACCACTTGGCCTTGGAAGCTCAAGGTGGAGTCAAGATTCTAGAATGAATTTTGAGCAAGGTCAAACCTGTGCTCGATGTTCCACTCCCACTCCTCCCACCTGAAGAACACCTGCTATTCTAAAACCTCAGTCCAAGTATCACCTCCCTTGGAAGTCTTCCCAGGCCCTTCACGGAGAGGTGACCCTCCCATCTTCCATCCTCCACTAGCTTGAGTGCAGACCTCCACCTTGGTGACAAGAAAGCTGCAGAGCACTTACTGGGTGTGTGAGCCCAGCCAGGCTCTGCTGGAAGCTTCGTAAGGACAGAGGCCCCATTGCACTCTCTTCCACATGCCTAGTGCCCTCCTATGACTCATGTGCCACAAACAAGCTAAGGAGTGCCTTGAGATGCAAACTATGAACACGTTCGACTGCTAGCCAAAAGGTTGGAAGTTCGAGTCTATTCAGAGGCAATCTGGCCATCTACTTCTGAAAAGTCAGTCATTGAAACCCGATGGGAGCACAGTTCTACTCGGACACACACAGAAGTGCCATGGGTTGAGTTGAGTCAAGGGTAACTGATGGCTTGTCATTAACTGGAAAAGGTGGAGGTGCCCACCTGTCCCCTGGCTAGAATCCTCCTCCAGGGTTTTCTATCCTGCCCTTCAAGAGCTCTGAGGACTTTCCGATTCCCACCTTCTCTTTCCACCCTAACCTTCCAAGCCTTGGAGCCCTGAAGCTGGTTCCCGACTCAACTCTGCTCTCCCTAACCACATGAATCCTTCTGGTGGTACTTTTCTCTCTTCCCCTCCTGCCCACTGTCAGAACTGGAGATCTTTGTCAAAGAGGATCCCTCCCCCCAATTCAGACTCTGGCTCCTTCTGGGAAGAGGGCTTGGGTTGTATCCAATGTAGAGTTTGAAGGTTCCGATAAGTGGCCCCTCCCGCCCTCCACTTTGGCCCTTGCCCTGGCTGTACTACCTGCTGAGGTCTTCAGAGAGGGGATGTATTTGGACCAGAAGGAGCAGTCAGTGTTTTTCAGGCCATGAAGATTGGGGAGCAGGGAGCTGAATTCCTTGTAGCTTTCTCCGCCAGCCCAGGGGAGGAAGTCAGGCCAGGGGGTTGCAAAGTCAGGTGCTCTCCGGGAGAACTCGTGAAAATAGTTGGGATTTCTGGAAGATGAGAGGAAAGACTGTGTGGCAGACCTGCTTTTTCTCATGGGATCTCTTACCATTTGCACTTGGCATCCACCTGCTCACCAAAGTGAGTTACCTGTAAGAGTCACAGCAGCACTAGGACCCACCCAGCTTGACTTCAAGGCCACACTTACTTCACTCCAGGGCTAAAGTTTTCTGACTACACTTCTGCTAGGCTACTTCCAGAAAAGGGGGCAGCAACTCAGGACCTAGCAGCATTGCTCACCCCCTGGTATTGCCCAGGAATCCTGATGTGGTGCCATAGGGTAAGCATTCGACCATATGGTCAGGTTGAAGCTCAAGGTCAGAGGTTCAAATCCATGAGCCACTCCTCAGAAACCCTATACAGAGTCACTATGATTTGGAACTGACTCAATGGCACTTAACAACAACAAGAATTGTCTTGTGTCTCTTAAGGTCCTGGTATTGCACTGTGGTTAGAGTGCTGGGCTGCTAACCAAAAGCTTGGCAGTTTGAATCCACCAGCTGCTCTGAGGGGGAAAGATATTGTAGTCTGTTTCCATAAATATTATAGCTTTGGAATTCCAATGGGGACAGTTCTACTTGGTCTGTAGTGTCACAGGAGAGGCTCAGCTAGACAGCAGTGGGGTTGGCTTTTGGGTTGGTTCCTTTTTCTGAAGTCCCTAAGTGATGCAAAGCATTCGTTTTCTCAGCTGCTAAACCAAAATATAGAAGTTCAAATCCACCCAGAGACACCTGGTATGAAAGGATTGGTGATCTAATTCTGAAATATCAGCCCCTGAAGACCCTGTGGGGCAGAGTTCTACTCTGACACACATGGGATGCCATGAGTAGAATCTACTTATGAAAAAGCATCCACTGGAAACCCTGTGGAGTATAGTTCTGATGTGACACATATGGGGGTGTCATGAGTGGAATTTACTGATGAAAAATCAGCCTCTGAAAACCCTGTGGAGCACCGTTCTACTCTGACACACACAGGGCGCCATTGAGTGGATTCTACTTATGAAAAATCATCCACTGAGAACCCTGTGAAGCACGGTTCTACTCTGACACACATGGGGCACCACGAGTGGGATCAACTTATGAAAAATCATCCACTGAGAACCCTGTGGAGTATAGTTCTGATGTGACACATATGGGGGTGTCATGAATGGAGTCGACTTATGAAAAATCACCCACTGAGAGCCCTGTGGAGCACAGCTCTGCTCTGACACACATGGGAGCACCATGAGTGGGATCTACTTATGAAGAATCATTCACTGAGAACCCTGTGAAGCACAGCTGTACTCTAACACATGTGGGGGCACTATGAGTGGCGTCTACTTCTGAAATATCAGTCACTGAGAACCTTGTGGAGTCCGGTTCTACTCCGCCATACATGGGGTCACCCTGAGTTGGAACTGACTTGCCAGAATCTGATTTGGTTTGGTTTTGAGCATTCTCACGTAATTTGAGCATCTAAAACAGCAGGGTGACTGTGCCTACCAGAGGACGTTAGACAATGTCTGAGACATTTTAGGTTTTCATCAACTGTAGGGAATCTGGGAGGGGAGGTGCTACTGACATTGAATGGGTAGAGGCCAGAGATGTTGCTCAACATATTAGAATGCACAGGATAGCCCCACAACCAGGAATGACTCAGTCCCAGTGGTTGGTTACACTCTGGCCTATGGGGTTGCTATGAGTTGGGCTGGATTTTGGGACATGTGGATCGTGACAAGGCTAAGAAAGTCTGAGCTAGAGCAAGCCTTTGTGGTTCCACGAGGGAACTCTCCTTCATGAAGGTTAGTGCATAGAAAGTAGTTGTAATTAGAAAGGGGACTGACACAGGCTGAAAGGATGAGTCTGGGGATGCAAACTGTGGTCTGTGGGTGCAGATTGGGGGAGGGAGCTGCAATGCTAGAATTCAGACAGAGCTGACCACTCACCCAGATCTGATGAAGTTGGAAAAGTACTGCATGATTTTCAGCGACAGGCTTTTCTCCTCCTGAGTAAACTGGCCCTGGTAGGTGGGGTAGAAGGGAAGTCCAAAGGCGTACTGCATATCAGCCAGCAACTCCAGGCTGGGAAAACACATGGCAAGAGGGAGCAAGCGTTAAAGGAATTTTAACCCACTGGGAGAAGCCCAATGAGTAGTCAGTATTCCTTTCAAAATTTAGACTTTTCTCTGTTGACATCACATTTAGGATTCCCAAGCAGTCTTTCCTTTAGCTGTAATTCAGGAAGATCTTTGCACAGGTCCATGGCTCCTCTATTGGTTGGAACTGAACACTTAATTATCATAAACAGCTCTCTGAAGGAATTTTCCAATAGAATGTTCATGTGATCACATTCCAACATTGCAGGCTATAGCTTCACTGCCTATTCATTTGTCCACCACTCACTGAAGAGCACTGATGATAAAAAAAAAAAAACCCAAAACCTAGCCTGTATGTTGTGCCCCTTCTCTGACCAGGCACAGCACTTCACAACTCTTTGAGGAAGACATTTAGTCATATAACCAACCCTAGTACAGTCCCTGGAACAATGTGAGTAGAGGTTCAAAAAACATATGTTCCATGACTAAGGTGAATATCTCGGGTGCAGCAGGCAATGGGAGAAAGGTCTGGAAGCCAGGTGTGTGGTCTGAATGGACTGAGCTGGAGCTGGCACCAGGAGGTCCATGGGATACGGAGTCCATGGGAGAGGATGTTGTGAGCCTGAGAGAGTGTTCCAGCGGGAAAGCTGAAGGGATGGTCAAGACAGCCTCTAATTTTACAGATGAGGAACAGGAAGTGCAAGGAGGTCCCCTGACTTACCCAGAGATGCACAGCAGATGGAACAGTGTGTCAGGTCAGAACTGGCATTTCTGGGAAGCAGGGTAGTAAGGAAAGGCAGGAAGGCTTGGTGAGACCAGACCTGGGTCCTGGTTCCTTCACCTTCAGGCTGGTGGGTGTCTCTAGAAGAGACTTGGCTCTCCTATCTCCTCATCTAAGAAATGAGCATCTTACCATCTGCTAGGTCCTATGTTCTAGGCACCATGGCAGGCCTTGGACACATGTGATCTCCAGCCAAGGGTCACCTGGAGAAGTCTATACTATCATCCATCCAAGGGTCAGAAATATCAAGTGACATACCTGAGACCCAAGTGTCAGGGCCCCAAATCCTGTCCCTTGTTGATTCTCCTTGAGGGTCACTAAAGAGCTATCAAGACACTATTGTCAATAGTGTCCTGAGATCCACAATGGGAAAAGGAACAAATCCCCAAAACACCAGGGGGAGAGTTATCTAGACAAAACGACAACACAAATCCTCTCTCCCATATGCACATCCTTGAGAGTTTACAAATCCCTTTTGTCTTAAACCCCAAGGAACCTGGAAGAAAGTTGTCATTTATTTATCTTCATACAGTAATGGGGACTTGGGCTCTTTCTTCTTCTTCTTCTTCAATTCAAAGTATTTTAAACTTCTACAATTTGAAAACAAAGCAGTCTAGGTTAGATAATACAGTTGTATTTTTGAAGTGGAATGTGCTCATTTCGAGCCTAGTTTTGTTGAAATATAAAAACAACTTCCCCAGACCTCTAGGTGGGGACACTGCTGTTTTGGTGACCTGTCACTAGGGTATCTGGTCAGTCTCAGGTGGTGATATCCCTTGCTTTTTCTCCAGTAAGGGTTTTATAGCTCTGTAACAGATGCGCTTTGCTAATCTTACGCAGTTGATTATTCCAAACATCTCCTGTGAGGCGAAGGCCATCTTTGTCTTTCTCACTTCTGTGCACTCAGAAATGGGTGTGGAGATGCTCACTCACCATGCTGTGTCCATTCAACAACAGGAAGGCGGCTTGGTGAGCGTTCAGCTGTTGGCATCTTGTAGCTATTTTTGATGAGTCCACTGAACCCAAGCCATGGTGTTTTTCAATAACCTTATATGCATGAGAAAGCTGGACAATGAATAAGGAAGACCGTAGAAGAAGTGATGTCTTTGAGTTGTGGTGTTGGAGAAGAATACTGAAAGTGCCATGGGCTGCCAAAAGAACCAATAGATCTGTTTTGGAAGAAGTGCAGCCAGATGCTCCTTAGAGGCTAGGATGGCCAAACTTTGTCTCTCATACTTTGGACATATTGTCAGGAGGGACCAGTCACTGGAGAAGGATATCATGTTTGGTAAGGTGGAGGGTCAGAGAAAAAGAGAAAGACCCCCAAGGAGATGGATTGGCCAAGTGGTAGCAGCATCGATGGACTCAAGCATGGCAACAATAGCGAGGTTGGCCCAGGATCAGGCAGTGTTTCGTTCTGCTGTGCATAAGGTTGCTATGGGTGTACCGACTCAATGGCACCTAACAACAACAACACTCATGTTGGTGTGATGGGATATACGGAACTTGTTTCTATCCAGCACAAGAAGTTGCTTCTCATGGTTGGATCTTTCTTTCTTTCTTTCTTTCTTTCTTTTTTTTTCTTAAATGTTAATTATGTGATAGTTTACATGGGAGAACATTAGTTTTACATTCATTCTATCGTATATCGTCTCATTGCCATGGTTACAATCCCCTCCATACAATCCTTCCCCCGTACCCCCCAGGTCTTCAGCACACAGTTGCTCTCCCTCTCTGGATCTAAAGTCTCCAGCTGCTCCATCACTCCACGTCATCATCTCTGGCTCCATTTCAGGCATCACTGCTTCTCTGGGTAGGGTCCCACTCTCTGCTCTTCTCCCTTGATGGTCCTAGGGACCTCCGCTCCTAGACTGAAAAGTTAATCACTCCCCTCCTTGCTATAAAAACTCTACCTTTACACTTGGTTGGATCTTTCTTGCTCACTGAGATTTGGGTGGGCTGCTGCTCCTGGGTAAATGGAATACCTCCCATTCTTTGCTCACAGGTGTGTCATTGCTTGAAGATCTTCACAGATGGCATGGAGTGGGACGGTGGTGACACTGAGGCTGAGAGCTGTGGTGGTATCAGGTAGTGGCCAATGAAGCTACTTTCTGGTCAAAGCCCCATGATAGTTAAGTGGTGATGTGAGGACTTAGGCTGACCCATGGCCTTGCTGCAGGGGTCTCCTTCACCCACGCCAGCCTTCGGCTTGTTGATGGTCTGAACGTCCTCCATGGTCATATTCTGTCCAGCTCCCAGAAGCCAGGGAGCCACACTTCATCTGGCCGCTCTCTATGCCCAGACTATGTTCCTGACCAATTTCCTCCCTCCCAGGTGCCGCTCATTCTCTGCTCAATGCTGTGAAAGTGAGCAGTCACCTGTATCTCAGGAGGTTCTCGTGTAACAAACTGGTGACCAGAAAAGACACACGTGTTATCTCTTAGTTCCAGAGGTCTGTAGTCCCATATGGGTCTCGATGGACGAAAGTCAGATGTCGGCTGGCTCCTTTTGTTTCTAGAAGCTCCATCTTCTACACGTTCAGGTTTATGCACAGTCCAGCTCGCTGTGGCGTAGTCTCGTCTGGCGACTGTGTGTAAAGTGAGGGTTGTTTCTAGCTACTAGAGGCTGCTGCCAGGGTCTCTTTGTCCATCTTCAAAGTAGCAACTATGGGTCGAGCCCTTCTGTCTGGCGCAATGTCCTGCTTTGCTGGTCTGTTTCTAAGTACTCATGTGATCAGACTGGGTCAACTCACAATCTCTTCATATGCATGTGGAAATTGGACGATGAATAAGGAAGTTTGGAAATTGTGGTGTTAGCATAGAATAATGAAAGTACCAGGGACCGCCTAAGACAGAACTGATCTGTCTTAGAAAAAGTGCAGCCAGAATGCTCCTTAGAGCAAAGATAGGAAGATTTCATCTCATGGACTTCAGACATGTTATCAGGAGTCAGCAGTCCCTGGAGAAGAGAATCATGCTGGCAAAGTAGAGGGTCAGCAAAAAAAAGGAAGCCCCTCAACAAGATGGGCTGACATCGTGCCTGCAACAGTGGGCTCAAGCTTAACCAGGATTGTGAAGGGGGGTGCCGGACCAGGCAGAGCTTCCTTCTGTTCTGCATATGGTCGCCATGAGTCAGACAGACCCTAACAACACCAGCACCACCTACATGATGGAGGAAAATCTCCCTACCTCAAGGCTCTTCACCTTATTTGCATCTGCAAAGCCCCCTCTGCCACATAAGGTGACCCATTCACAGGTCCTAGAGGTTAGGACTTGGCGATTTGGGGGGACTATTATTCTGCCTTCCCCCAAGTGGCCTTGTCTACTGCTTCTTCCAAAGAAAGTGGGATTCCAAGTGGTGTTGCTGCCAACCTGGCTCTGACTTACAATGACCCCCCCCCCCCAATGTATGATAAAGCTAAACGCTGCCCAGTCCTGTGTCTTCCCCCTGACCATGGGCATGTCTGAGTCCATGGTGTGGGCTTTATTGAGTGCCTTCCAACCCAGGGGCTCCATCTCCCAGCACTATGATGGACAATATTCTATGGAGATCCAGAAAGTTTTCATTGGCTAACCTTCCTAAGGTGTCAGGCTTTGCTTCCTAGTCTGTCTTAGTTTGGAAACTTTTTGGCCACTTGGCCATCATGGATGTCCCTGCTGGCAGTAAAAATACCAGTGACATGACATCTAGCATTATAGCAACACTCAAACCAATGCATTACCACAGACTGGAAGATGGATATGAGGCGGGGCTGTGAATACCAACTTTAAAGATCACAGTTCCCACTCAAATCTTAGTTCAATCACTTAATAGCCCTGGACAAGATACATAACCTTCCTGGACCTCTTCGTCCTCATCTGGAAAATAAGGACAAGGCATGCTTATCTCAGACATGGAATGTGGGTTAGCTATAAAATATTTTCAAATCTTTGGTCCTGTTTCTGGCTCCCGTGCCCATCCCCTTTCCCTGTAGGATACATGTGATGACTAGTGGATGGTTTCAGAGGACCATATTCCCCAACAGTGCAAGGGTAAGTCAGGAAGTGTTGATACTAGTATCCCAGCTCATACAGACATAGGCTTATTCTAAACAAAACTCCTGGTGTGACGCTGTGGATCAGCACCGGGCTGCAAACCACAGGGCCAGCAGTTCAAATCCACCAGCTGCTCATCGGAAACCTGATACAGGGCCTCTATGAGTGGGA